CATGGGCGTGTGCTGAGGGGGTGGCCTCCCTCCTGAGGCTGGCAGCAGGCAGGAGGGGAAGGGCTAGTGGTGGGGCTCCCCATGCACCCTGAAGCGGTAGATGCAGGTGTACTCCGGGTGGCCCCAGTTGGTCAGGATCCGCAGCTCCACCACCTGGTACGCAGCCACTGTGGGGGGCTGTGTGGAGAAGCCGGGGTTAGGAACAGCCTGGGCCCTCTGAGACAGAGGTGAGAGGAGCAGACGGCCTAGGGCCAGGTGGCCCTTGTCCTCCCTGGGGTTCCGTGCCTCGAGAGCGGTTTCCAGTCAGGGGGTCCCAGAGCCCCAGGACTTCCGCCTTCTTGCCAGGGGGGCCACCGACCCAGTGAGCCTGCCCTAGGCCTGGCCCTCAGGCCACGTGGGAACAGCCTCGGTGCCAAGGAGCAGCACAGTTCACGGCATGGCTCGTGCAGTCTCCTTCTCGCTGTCAGCACTACCGCTCCCCAGGGAGGACTGCCACGTATCGATGGGCATCGTTTCTTCCTCCAGTGCCCACCAGGCCTCTGTCCTCTCTGCTCCAAAAGTCACTTTCCGAGCCAGCATCTGCAGCAAATCCCGCCTCGGCCACTTCCTACACAGCCCCGGGTCCTCACCCCCTCCAGGCACGTTGTCCCTCAGCGAGCCCAACCCTCCCATGCTCAGCTGAAGACAACTCTAGTCCCCCCAAGAGCCCTATGGGAATATCCCGAGGGCACCTCATCCTCGGTGACCAAACTGGCTGCCAGCTCTGCCGCCGGCCCCACTGGGCAGTCGCTCTCACCGCACCGCCACCTCCTCCCTGCTCATGCCCGCCCCGACACTCAGGACCTGCTGGCTCCAGCCTTCCTCCTAGCACGCTGGGTGCCCTGGTGCGTGCTGGGCCTCGCCCCCCTGCCAGCCCCTGGCCAGCCCCTGGCTGCAGGCCTGCCCACTCGGCCTCACCACCTACGCAGTCGCAGGGCCCTGAGTGAGACGCGCATCACACCGTCACCTATTGTAGAACCCAGCCGTGCCGCCCACATAGCCCTGAAGGCTGAGGTCCCCTTCCTGCCACTGTCCTTTCTCCACCCCTCGCTAGCCCCATCCCCTGTTCCGCACGCTGAGGCTCCCCTGCCTCGATCCATACACATGGTTGTTCAAATACAGGTTTCTGGGTCCCACCAGCCATCAGCCCTGCGGAATCAGCTCTCCTGGGTGGAGACGGGGAAGCCGCATTTTCAGGCCCGGGCTCGGGGATCTGATGTCCACTCAGATTTAAGCCGCCTGTGCTGCTGGCCGTGCTCAAACACCTGCTCGTCCTGGGACATCCTTCACCACCTTCTTGCCCATAAAGCCCCCTGCAGGACGAGCTTCTCCAGGAAGGTTCTCCCTGGCAGTGTCTACATGGCATCTGATGCCCAGCTCTGGTTGAGAGGAGGGTAAGGCCTACGGCAGGGGCACCTCTCTCCGTCTGAATCCCTGGGCCTGGCCAAGCTGGTGCCCAGAAAATGCCTGCTGCAGGGCGGTAAAGGGCACACCGCCCGGCACGGCCCCGTACCTGAAAGTAGAAGGTCTGGATGGGCTCCCCGTCCTGCTCGTAGGTGAACTTGCCGAGGGGTGTCCCCTCCTGCTGCAGGTCTTCATCAAACCCCTGGAAGAGAGACGGGCAGAGGGCACGTGTGTAGGAGGGCAGGAGCACACCCTCTCTAGCCCCGCACCTGGCCCCTCACCCGGCATGAGTCTGAGGGGACGGGAGGGAGCCTGTGCGCTCCACCTGTGGCTCTGCCTCGGTGTCCTCCTTCACAGCCTGAGATGACAGGCCCTTCAGTGCCACTTCTCGCCCTGGGCCCACCTCTTCCAAAGCCACTGCCCCACCCGGCCCAGCCAGTTATCTCTGCCCGATCCTCGGAGAGCAGCCCTAGGACCTTCCTGCAGCCCCGATGGCGCCCACCCAGGTCGGGTACTCACAAAGATGGCAAAGTCCTTGGGGGCACTGGAGATGGTGCTGTTGGGTGACAAGGCCTTGGGCACGTGCTCTAAGGTGACAGCGGTGGGGCGGATGCGGGCTGAGAGGCGGACCACAGCAAAGCCCTGGGGCCCCTGGAAAGCCCAGCAGTTGCCTGGGTGCACATCTGGCTGGAGAGGTGGAAGGTCACGTCAAGGCAGGGCCCCAAGCCCAGTTGTCACTGACCCAGGACAGGAGAGGCCCCAGTGAGCTCAGGCCCCCGCCATCATCTTGCAGGTACCGACCTGGAGGATTACGCGGGGAGACTGGGAATGGTACCACAGGGGGATGCCGAAGAGGCTGAGCAGGGCTGTCTTGGTCTCGTAGGTCTCAGAGCAGCGGGTGCTGATGACGCTGGCCCCTGGGATGGGAAAGGAGGAGGGAGGACCCCCCACAGTCAGGAGGCCCCAGAGGACCAGCTCAGGCCTCCAGCCAGAGGAGCAACTGCCACTGCCATCTCCTCGTGAGGATGGACGGTGGATGCCCAGGCCAGTCCCAGCCCTGACCCAGACCCTGGGAGCTACTGCGAACATCACCTGTCCCTGCCAAGGTTCCGGCCCGGTAAGTCCTGACTTCTCTGAACTGTCACCTGCCTTTGCAGTGAATTCTAGGCTGGGTGAGTTTTGCTTAGGAAACAGGCCCAGGGCAAGGCCAAGAGGAAGCACTGCACACACCTCCCGACTCCAGGGCGTAGTCTACCATCCCGATGCGGTCCTCACTGTAGCGCTGCAGGGCCTGCTTCACGATGCGGTGCACCTGCTAAAACATGGCCCCAGCACACGCTCAGGACGGACGCAGACACAGCTGCCTTGTGCCCACTACTATGAGCCAGGGACCATGGCCCGACCTGTGCCCAGGCAGGTGTGGGCATGCCTCTGCCCACCCAAACTGCCTCAGAGCACACATCAGAACCTCCTGCGGTCACATATCCTAGAACCCTGAAGAGATGCAGTGTGTGGGACCATCTAGGTCTGCAGCTCCCAGGGAGAAGAGCAGTATGTGTGTGTGTGTGTATGCGTGTGTGTGCACTCGTGCATGTGTGTGTGTGCGTACGCGTGTGTGTGGTGGGGAGCTCTTGGTCCTTACCGCCTCTGTCACCCCGATCACGCCTTCCCTCTGCAGCGTCAGCCCCAGGCTGGCCGCGGCCTCCCTGGCCGACTGGCCCTGCATCTCTGCCACGTGGGCGAGGATCTTCCTCTCCAGCTCCTGCAGCTGAGCTTCCATCTCCTCTCTCTGAAGGAGCCCCGCGCGGGTTCCCCCACCTCGGAGGAGGAACTGGCCAATCCAGGCAGGGAACTGAGACTCCACCTGGGGACCACAACAAGGATCTCTCTGGGGAGCCAACAGGGACAGCAGGAACTGCCAGGTTAGGACTGGGCCAGGGTGGGTGGGGGTGAGCTTGGGTAGCAGGGTCAGGGAAGGAGGGCAACCACCAGAGGAAGGAGTTCAGGCAACCCCACGGGGAGTGACGGAGGGACAGATCTGTCAACAACTGCTAGCACTCATGCCAGTCCAGCACGGCAGTCTCATGAGTCCCCAGGCCATAGGCTCTTTCCACAGCCTCCCAGGACAGTGGTCTCCGGGGAGAGGGCGTTCAACGGGGCACCTGGGTGGTTCCAACTCACGTCATCCCGCACGGCCTGGATCTGCTGGGGCAGCAGGCCCACTTCGTCTGCCACAGAGCTGTGCTTCAGGGTCAGGGCTGCCAGCTCCTGCCGCAGGCCTGCCAGCTGGCCCTCCAGCCGCCCCAGCTCCTTCATGGAGTTCTCCCGGAACGACTCCTGGGTCATCCTAGTGCCAGAGAGAAGAGTAAGCTGGGATTTGGTGAGGAGTGAGGCTGTGCTGAGGAAGGAGGAGGGCCCACCACCCACGTGGATGCCAAGGGAGACACCTGCTCCTGGAGGCTCTGGCAGGTGCCTGGCAGCCAGCTCGCCTACCCCAGAGCTCATTCTGGTCCCTCGAAGCCAGAGGCCTCACCTTTTGGACCTCAGCCTCTCACATCTTCAACAGGTGTGAACACCTGGGGTTGAGAAGGCAGCCTGCCTGGGGCCGTGTGGAGACCTGGTCTATAAACGAGCCCACGAACACCAGGCCCTACTTCAAGGCCTGCCTTCCGCCACCAGCAGCCACTACTGACCTCCCGCCATGCTCTCTGGGCCACCCTGCCTAGGGGTCAGGGGTGGGAGTGGGGAGGAGTGGGCCTAGGCCAGCTGCAAGTGCCCATTACCTTTGCCACTCTGCCTTCAGCTGCTGAACACGAGCCTCAGACTCCTGGCACAGGAAGCAGGGAGCAGGGAGAGAGAGGAAGCACCCAGCTCAGAGAACTCGGCCCCCAGAGCAGCTCTGCTCCCTGCAGGAGCCTTCGCTCAACCACCCCCTGGCCCAAGTGCTAAGCAAAAGTCCAACTAGCGTCCTGGCCAAAGTCCTCATCCTGTGTCCAAGGCACCCAGCCATTCAGGCGTCCCCAGTCACTCCCCAAGAGCATACCCAGAGGGGCAGCTGCTCCTGTCCCAGCACGCTCCCCAGGTCCTACCATCCCCTTCCAAAGGGCCCAGGGGCCCAGGGTCTCAGTCCAAGAACGACGTTGGCCTCCATCAGGACCACAGCGGAGTCCCGAGTGCCCCCAAGCCCACCAACCTGGGAGGCCTGGACAATCTTCTTGAAGAGGTCTTCGGCATCCTGTTGGTGCTCTGCTCTTAGGGTGGCCAGCTCTTCCTGTCAGACACGAAGCCGGGACTGAAGACCGGACAGGTGCACGAGGGGCACTTACGGCAGGAAGTGGTATCACTGGGCCCGAGCCAGGCCAGCTGATTCCAGCCCCGGCTCTCGGCCTTCCTGTCACAGGGCTCCCCTGGGGCACATGGCCTCCCACTGCTCTATCCCGCACCCCACGCACCATCAGGCACTGTGCCCAGACCACGCATCTCACAACCGAGGATAGCCACGACAGCCCCATTGTACAGAGGAGGAAACTGAGGCTTAGAGAAGGTGACTGCCCAGTGGCAGGGCTGTCGGACCCTAGGGGACATACAGCGACAGCCACATGTTCCAACGGGGCTGCCCACATGTGACACCCAGCTCCCATGTGGGACAACTCCACTCCCCTACCTGGATGCGCGCGGCTGTGTCCCTGCGGAAGTCCTCCTTCAAGGCGGCCTCACGGCGGCTCACCAAACCCTCCAGGAGCGTCAGCGTGTCCTCATGGCTCAGGCTGCCACCTCCGCCTCCACCACCGCCCTGGCCAGTGGCCCCCTGCCGCAGCTCCAAGCGCTCCAGCCGCATGGCCTCCTTCTGCCAGTTGGAGGAGAACTCAGCAGCGAGAGCTTCCAGGCGCCGCTCCAGGGTGTGCATCCGGGACAGGATGTGCTGCTCAGCCTGGAGGGTAGGGAAGGAGACCTGGGAGGTGAGGACCCAGCAGTGCCCTTGGCTAATCAACACTTCTGTGAGAGCCCCTCTGAGCCAGCCCCAAGGAGAGGGGGAAGAGTCTCGAACACCAGCCTGCGGCTGGGCCCCGGGAAGGCCCTGGTTTACGCGGAGACCTCCCTGAGAACGCTGGGCACATGTGTGTCCGTGCTCTGCATCGTCAGAGGCCACACATGGACCATGGTGTCATGGACCTGTGGGAGGTGCTGTTTCTCTCTTGCTCTTGGAAGAAATAAAAAAAAGAAGAAGAAAGAAAAAAGAATCCAGGAACATCCCGTCCGCCCACGCTGGCTCCACCGGGCAGTGGCTGGGGACAGTCGACTGTCACTCAAAGGGCAGGGACTACTGAGTGCAAAGGTTCTGATGTTATTTATTTTTTCACATTTTTTTTTCTCTTTTTTGCTGCAGGGTGAGTGTGCTCGCCATAGACAGAGGAAGCGAGAACTCATCCCTGGGGTGGGAGGGATGGTCATTTCTTGCCCATGACATCCCTTCTCCTCCACTTTCCTCTCGGGATTTCTCAAGCTGCCTGGTCTAGGACTCGAACTGCACAGCTGGCCAGGTGGGATTCAGCTGATTTAATCACCATGCCACCTAGGTGGTCCAGAGGTTCTAATTTATAGAAATTACATTTTTTAAAAAGAGGTTTTTGCTACAGGGTGCATGCGCTCGCCAGACAGACAGAGACAGAGAGACAGAAAGTGAGAAATCACCTCCTAGGGGGATGGCCACCCCGCCGCAACGCTTTCTCTCCTCTCGGGATCTTGGGCACGCACGCACACGCGCCCGGCGTGAGTTTTAAGCCTCCAGGTCTGGGACACGAAACGCGGGGTCGACTACATGGGAGTCCAGTGACACAGCCATGATGCTAACTGCTGGTCCCAGAAATTACATTTTTTTAAGGCAATACAGTTGCATGACTCAAGAAGCAAACATCAAAGAGCCCCCTCCCTGCCCCTCTCCTGACTTCTGCTCTACCCACCCAGTGCCCTTAGCACCCCTCCCCACCAGCCAACTGCCCCCTTAGTGTCGTTATGCAAACGCAGGCAAACCAGATTGTTCATGCTTTGCTTCCCCTTTTTCATAGAAAAGGTGGTTATGAAATAGAATTGTATTTCTTATCTTTTTTAAAAAATAATTATTTCATTTTATTATAATTATTTTTAATTTGTTGTAGGGCACATGTGCTCACCAGCGAGAAACAGAAACAGAAAGTGAGAGGGAAATTGAGAGAGCAAGTGGTCAGATGTGGGACTTGAACTGCAGTCGGCTGTGTGGGCGTCACGCGCCTTAACCAAGCGCCACCCGCTGGCCCCCGTTCAGTGTCTTTAATGATTAAGAGTCCTAGATAAAAAGGCATAGGTGGAGCCAGCAGGTGGCATGGTGGTTAAGGGTGCTAGGTTCCCACATGGCCGGTCACAGATCGAGTCCCATCCTGGCGGCTTGCAAGCTTAATTCCCCAACCCCTGCACCCCCCAGCCCCGGGTGCCCTGTCTCTCTCTGGTCAAATTAAAAATAAATAAATAAATAAATCTTTTTTAAAAAAAGAGAGAGGGGGCGGGGAAGTGAGAAATCACCCCCCAGAGGGCGGGCAAGCTGTGATCCCTTTCCGTTCTCTCGGTCACCAGGGACGTGCACACACATGCACCCGGTGTGATCTTCCTCTCAGGATTTCGAGCACACGTGTACACACGCCCAGTGTGATTCTCAAACACTGCCTTAGCCACTGCACCACCGGTGGGCCTCTGTGTCGACTTTTACCCCCCACTGACTGTTCCTTCAGGGCACATCCTAGACCTGGTCCCTTCCTCCCAGAGATGAAAATGGCCACCACCTCTTGCCCCGCACCCTCTGCCATGTGGCCTCGCAGCTTCTCCCATCGAGGCGTGGAACCTTTTCTCCCTCCTTGAACCCGGACGGTCTCTGAGATCTGCCCCGGCACTAGACGTCGGTGGAGGAGACCTCGTGCTAGCTCAAATCAAGGTCTCCGAGGGGCTGCCTGCTCCTGTCTTGTGGGACCTGCCTGGCAGCTACGAGACCAACCCGGTAGCCTGCCGGGTGACAGACACACGTGGAGCGCAGTCCTCCCAGGCCAGGGCTGACCCACTGGCCACATTCCGACCGGCAGACTGACACGCACGCATGCACGACTCAGGAGCCCACCTAAGATCGCCTGTCCTTGCTCGGGCCAGCAGGGCCACTCGGACGACCTGCAGACTCAGGAGCTAGGCCCCCGATCTTAGGGGTGTCCTGGTGTGGAAGAGTTACTGACCGCCATATCCTCATCACGGAAGGGCTCAGAAAGGACCTGTGCGATGTGGGGAAGGAGCGGAGCACACGGACGATGCCGACTCCACGTCCGTTTTCCGTGCTCTCCAGGTGGCAACCAGCGCTTGCAGCTTTGTGCCACTTTTAAGGGCAGGCAACTGCCCTCATCACACCCCCAACAGCGGAAAGAGGTGTTCCAGCCTGGACAACCTCTGCGCGCTTTGTAAGGCAGGACACCAATAGCAAAGACAGGCCGAGGGAAGGGCTGCGCCCTGCCAGCCCATGGCCTGGGGACACTCACCTGGAAGTGGGAGGCCGCGCTGGAGTCCCACGCCTCCTGCTGCCTCCTGCTGTCCCTTGCTGCCCACCAGGAAGCCACAGCGGGGTGGACCGTCTGCAGCCCGTATGGGTAGAAATACCAGGCACCTACGCACAGGGGAGGCTGGTTACCCGCGGGGGAGGAGGCAGCCAACCTAATCCGTGTCAGGGCCTGTCCCATCACGGGAGCCCAGCCCTGCCGTGGGCGGGAAGAGGGCTGGAGCTCCCGCTGTTCTCGGACGGGCACCCTGTCCATGCCACCCCCACCGCCATCTCAGAGCGAGTCCTCTCCACACTCCAGGACTCCTTCCTGTGGATGGCTGAACCTGGAGGAAATGGCTTTAGCATCTACCCCACCCTCCGGCCTGAGTGGGACCGCTGTGGCCATGGGCCCTGACACTCCGTCCTGCTCCTGGGGCTGTCTGATTGGGGTGAGTTTACTCCCAAGGGTGTGTGTGTGTGAGAGAGAGACAGAAAGAGAGAGAGACACAGAGACAGAGAGACAGGGAAGGAGGGTCAAGGACCTAGAAAAGCCACATGGCCGAGGGTCTCTATTCCAGCAAAACCCTGAGCCTGTCACTCAGTCGCTGTCCAGGAGCAGGTCCGAGGGACGCACACACCTCCGGGCTAGAAGCCGGACATGGTCACAGCCTCACACTTCACCCACCCCCACAGGTCACACGCCCCTGTGCACGTGCATCTCCATGTGATGTGGTCATGACCTGGCCCACCAACCCCACAGGCAGGCGATGGGGAAGCTCAGATTAGACTGAGATAACGCGCGGAAGGTGCTGCCGGGCTGACTGCGATCGTAAAGGATCGCTATTATTTTAAGGGCGATGCCAGTTTCCACTGGAGAGGAACAAGCTGTTCTTGTAACAGGAAACACAGAAAGGAAGCCAACATTGGGAAAATGCTCTACCCTCTTAGTAATAAAAGAAATAGAAGTCGAATAGTTGCTAAACCTATAAAACCAACTCTCCTAAAATATACTAACACATGGATGGTCTTTAATTATAAATTGGTTCAACACAGAAAATTGAGCTTGAGCTGGAGGCCACACAAGTGACCCCGACTTGATGAAACTGGGAAGCTCATGGAAACCTGTCAAATAAGAAGTTGTCCATGTCCCAGGGGAGGGCGGGGCTAGCCCGGGGCCCTGGCAGCCCTGCCCGCTCCAGGCCTGCACCCTCCCTGCCACAGCCCTCTGCAGGGCACTTCTCAGCCCCACTCCGGCTCTGCTCCTGCGCGCGGCCTCCCTGCCACGTGGGCCCAGAGCTCACCGTAGGTCAGGCAGGTCAGGAGCAGCAGCAGCAGGAGGAACCAGAGGAAGGTCTTCAGGGAGGAGAAGCGCCTGGAGCCACGGAGTCAGACAGGGAAGGCAGAGGCGTCAGGGGGAGGTTCTGGGCCTCTGTCCCCCAAGCTTCCCGTGATGCCGGGGTCAGACTGGATACTTTAGAGCATGACCTGCAGTGCAGGTCTCAGTGATGGGGGCAATTCTGACTGTGAATTTTATTCCACTGATTAAAAATCAATAGCGTGGAGGTCAGCAGGTGGTGTGGTGGTTAAGGGTGCTAGACTCCCCCATGGTCAACAGCAGTTCGAGTCCCGGTCCTGGCGGCTTGCTTTCTCAATTTCCCTCTCTCTAGCTCCCTTGCTCTTTCTCTGCCCCTCTCTGGTCAGATTTAAATAAATAAATAAATAAATAAAGTCCTCTAAGCAAGTAAATATAGAAAAAATATGTAACTCCTTGAACAAACAATATTTTCTTTTAAAAAGTGAGGAACCTTGTTTCGGTGACATGACCGTCCTTGTCCTTGTTAGCGCTGCTGGCCCCACCCACACCTGGCCATGAACCCTGACCGCCGGGTTTAGCCCTCTTCCCTCTAGGGGCCAGTTCCCAAACCCTAGTCCTGCCACCAGGGCCTGGGGGAATAACCTGCAGCATCCCAGGCAGTGTGTCTTCGTGGCTTTTGCACATGGCGGCGACAACTCTGGAGGGCTAGACTGTCCCAGGTCCAAGAGGGATGCTGCACTTTCTGGGAAAGCCCCCTCTTGCTAGATCCTACGGGCCTAACCTGGAGTGCAGCCACTAGTTATCCGAGGGGCAGAGGTAGCTGGCCTGGGCTGGCGTTTAGTAGTGTCCAAGAAATGTCCAACAACAAATAAAAACCATGTTCTAGAACCCTGCCCTGAGGGCTGTGAGGGAGGAGCGAGATCCCAACCCCGAGTCCGTCCTCTGTCAGGCAAGATGGCTCTACAGAGGCCGTGCCATGCTCACTCCTGAGGGCTCCAAGGAAGCTGGGCAGCACCTTCAGAGAAAGGCCCAGCACAGCTATAACCCTGCCGCAGCCGGGTCTCAGGGCTTTCTGGCTGTCACTCACCTGGTTAAAACGAAGACGTCAAGGAGGGAGGCAGCCGTCGTCAGGCGGTACCAGGTGGTGCCAACCCACCAGTAGAGAAGTCCAAAGAGCCGGCCTAAAAAGTGGCACCAAGCCCGCCTTCAGAGCATGGCTCTCTCCCTGTCTGTGGTCCTCCCTGCTCCCACCCCAACACTGACCTGCCACTGCACCTCTGTCCCGTCCTACAGGGACCCAGCCCCTCTAACCCACCTGCCCACTCTGCCACACCCTCCTGCTCCGCGCCTGCTCCTGCCCTCCCCAGTGAGGGTGTTCCCACGGCCCGTGGTTCCCAGTGGCCATTCTGAAGCAAGCATCCCGACGGGCCTGTTGTCTCTGTCTGGGCCAGCTGGCCAGGCGCAGACAGTGGGTAAGATGTCGCCACATGAAGGATGGAAGTGTCTGAGAGCAGGACAGACAGCACCCACCTGGAGACGTGACCACTGCCCAGAAAAAGGAGCCTGCCCGAGAGACGGCGCTCCTTAGCCGTGAACCTGAACCATGCTGGGCCGAATCCGAGTAGCCTACAGGGAAGGAGGAGAGGAAATGGCTGAGTCTGTCCTTCCTATCAGGGCCCCGGGAGCTGGACGCTCTGACTTCGCCGTCATTCTCCTTCATGCCCAGGGCGCCACACAGGCCCGGCACTCGCAGGCCAGTAAGCCTTTGCTGAAGGAGCACACGGGGAGGTCTCTGACATTCTGCTTCCTACCCGAGCTCGTCCGCCTTCCTCGCCCTACCAACAACCTCTCAAACCCTGCTCAGAACTAAAGGGCCAGCTGCACCTGTAACCATAACCACGGGCCCTGCTAGGAGTGCAGCCCCATGGTGGACCGGGTCTACAGCACGGTGGTGCTGCCGGAGAGTGTGCACACCTGTGGGTGTGGCGACCCCAGGCTGGGTGGAAGGGCCTCCGCAGGCCCGGGTTCAGGTGCAGGGCTGGGCACTGGAGGACGTGGCGTCCTCTCATCTCGTAGAGTGCTCCCCGCCCTCCCAGTGGCCTGGCATCAGCTCGGGGAAGGAGCATCCCTACCCATGAAGTCGTCCTCGGAAGAGTAGCCCGAGGAGGATCCCAGGAAGTCCTCGGAGACCTTGCTCTCGGCCAGCCCGTTGGCCTTGCTGCTCTCGGTGCCACCTGTGCCTCTCCGCCGCCTCACCCGCAGGTCTTCATCTGTGCAGGAAGAACAAGGGCTCTTTAGAGCTTCTGAAAGTTGGGCCTGGGCAGAGAGGGGCTTCGGAGAGTGGAATTGGAGGACCCCGCCGTGACCCTTGAGGACTGAAAGAGGCAGAGCCCCAGGAGGACGGGAGATACTCACTCCAGAAGGGGTCGCTGTGCAGGTGGCTGTCGAGGAGGGCGCTCCGGGCCAGGGAGGCGGCCCGGGGGCTGCCTATGTAGGACTCCCGGACCATGGACTCGCTGTAGTAGGAGGTGTGGCCGTCAGAGGGGCCCAGCTGTGGCGCTGGGGACAGGCGCTTCATGCTGCCAGATTTCTTCTTCAAAGTCCTGTGGGACAGAGGGCACAGGGGACAGCGAGGTGAGCCAGCCCAGGCCTCCTCTGAGGCTGGGGTGGCCTCACTGCTAGGCAACTAACAGCTCTGTCCGTGGCTGACCACCTGCGGGGCGGGCGGGGCAGCCCTGCGCCCATATCTCACCAGCAGGTTACGAGATGAGCCGGTTCTCAGCCCAGCTCCAACTTCAAAGCCCAAGTTTGTCCCCATGCTTCTTGATGGGTGAGTGATTTCTAAATCCCACTGATAACTGGTCAAACCTGACCTGGCCTCCTCCAGCCAGCCAGAGCCACAGGGACCTGGAACCTGGGCCCCTTTTCTGCAAGGGGGGCAGTACAAGGAGGTGGGCACCTGCTGCAGCTCACTCCCCTGTGCCCCGAGGTGAGACAGTGAGACGCAGGACCGTGGGTGTGGTTGGAAAGGATGGCCGGGCTGCCACGCCCACCCCCAGCAGAAGGGGTTCCTGCAGCGGCTTGCAGTTTCAGGCTTCCGGCCTGCTCTGTGCTTCCCACTCTCCCCCCACTTCCTGTTCGCTAATCACCAGCTTACAGCGGGGAGGAGGGGCGCTGGGGACGGTATCCTCATAGGTGTGAGGGAAGGCAGCTGCCCCTGACTGGGCATGGCTTCTGACCTCTGCCCCAGAAGGTCGAAGGTCGCATCAGGAAGAGCCACCTGCTCTGCGGGGCAGTGCAGGCGACTGGGCTGTGGGGCTCACAGCACCCCTACCTGAGAGGACTGTCTTTAAACAGGGTGCTCTGGCTCCCCGTGACCGAGCTCCCGCCACTGCTGCTGCTGCCGCCGTCGTCATCGCCCTGGGAGTAGCGTGAGAGGCGCTGGCTTCGTCGGGACATGATGAGGTCGGGTGGGGACCCTCGACCTGCAGAATCTTGAGGGAGAAAGGAGGACGACACATGAGGCTAGGCGGGCGGAGACAGAGGCAGCAGGGAACAGCCCACCCCCTTTTCAGCCAGAACGGCCTGCGGGGTGGGGAGAGGTGACACTGAGGGAGCATCCCAGCACCCCAGCACTGCAGGCCACACCCCGCTCGGGCTCCTCAGGGCTCTCTAATCTGCAGGTCACCAGTCTCTGTCCTCCGGGAGGCTGAGCTCTGTGTGAGCCAGAGCCTGGCCTTCGTCAACCTCTGACCAGTAGCAGAGAAGCCGGCCCAGGACAGGTACCTCGTGGGCGTTGGGCCGTGCTTTTGATCACCACTGCCCTGCAGCCCTCCCGTCTCGCCATCCTGCTTTGCTGCCCTCCCTGCAGCTCCATCTCCTCCCTCTCTCGCTGTCTCCCTTAGAGGGCACGCGCTCTCCTTTCCGGCCCCTCGGCCTCCCCCCGTAAGCCCCACCTTGTCTGCTATCTCCCCTCAGTGCACATCGAGCAGCTGCGTCCTGGCTAAATGCCACATGGTCCCAGACTCCTCACACCTCCCCCTGTCCGTACAGGAGAGGCAGGTATGGTTACTCCCACCTGCAAGGAGAAACCTGAGGCTGAAATGGTGGGGAACTTGCCCACAGTCATCGGTCAGGCTGAAAGTGACAGAGCCGGGAGCTGAGCTCAGATCTGACCGGCACAGGGCCGGGGCCCTTCCCAGAGCAGAGTTGTCAAGTTGTTTCAGGAACGTGTTGTGTGCCCCCAGCTGCAGCCTGTTACCACCTCGTGCGTGGGCAGAACGAAGACGCACACCGCATCACCACACAACAAGCATTTGCTAACAAACAGCCAAACAGGGAGGGAGGAGGCTGCACGGAATCGCAGCCTTGCCGGCTGATCCCCAGATCCCCACGTGGGTGAAAACCAAGGCTCTGGAACTGATAATGAGGACAAACGAGGCCAAAGAGGAAAGACTTCAAGAAAGGCGACATTCTATGACCCAAGGAAGATTAGTACATTTTTCAGCGCTAGAAATTCAAATTCAAAATCGGATTACCCATGGGCCGCGTCTTGAAGCACTCTCTGCCAGCCGTGACACAAAGCCAGGGCTATACCAGAAACCCACGGGAGGGCGCTAACACGTGGGACCTTTTACCACTTCTAATATTCCTGGTCGATACTCTGCTAGTTCTCTGGGTTGCCAGTGGGCATAGACGAACACATGCCAACTCAGACCATGGAAACCAGAAGGTCTGGTTCGTCCAGCTTCAAACGCCTCTGAAAAACAAGCACGTCCTGGCCTTATTGGCATCTTGCCAGGTAGGATGCCCCTCTGACAGCCTCCCCTGGTTTTAGCCAGTGTTGGTACAGGGACCAACGGGTAGAAGCCAAAGCAGGAAGCTGGCTGTGTTTGCCCTATTCCACTCCTTATAAGGTAATTCCACCCGGCTGCTGCGTCCCCACCTGAAAGCCCCAGATGCCCAGACAAGGCGCTGCCTCTTAACCCCTGCCCTGCTG